TCCTGGACGACATGGGGTTGGCCAACCGTCAAAAACAGACCGAGCTTCGTGATCGACCACGGGAGCCGGGGGGGAGGGACTCGTCTTCCCCACGACCAACAGCGCGGAGCACAATCCTTCTGCTGTCGTGGCGCCGTAATGAGTTTTCACGCTGGATTTCCGCCTCTTTGTGCGGCGGCGAGGCAGGCGGCGCCCCGGCCCTTTGCGGCGCTAACGGGGGACACGGCAGGGTGGCTGACCTCCTGACGGACGCCGGTTCGGGCTGGCCCGGCCGGCAGGGGTGCGCAGCTCGGTGTGTCACCCCAGAAGACCTCCCGACAGGGCAGCCATTAGCGACACGGGACGACGCCCGGCTGAACCCGACTGGCCTCCGCTGTTTGTTTCCGTTCCGACTTTGTTTTCTGACAATGGTGTGTCCAGGAGACGGCCGTGTTCGGCTGGCTCTCCCGGTGAACATGTTTATTGGGCCGGTCGCCGGTGAAGTGTTTATCGCCCGGCTGCACCCGTGCCGACTCGTGCCCGACAGTTTCCGAGGCTCACGGGTGGGACCGATGGATACCTGGGTGGCTGGACACACACGGAGTGTGCTCAAAGACGGCATTTTCTAGGCTATATCGCCAGTTAACAAATATCTTTCCTTGATTTTTATAACATCGCATCATTTCTGCTTGCCCATTGCATATTGCAAGTCGCAACAAAAACTGTGACTGGCGGAAAGACAAGAATATTACACACACAGTGGTTCATCATAGTTCGATCAATCCACATATCCTGCAGAGCCCATCACGAGCTTTTTGGAAGCGCTAACAGGCGGGATGTTATCTTCCAGAGAAGTTGCAGGATCATGTTGGTTCCTTGAGTCACTTCAACACCTTTGATTAGAAGAATAGCCTGCACTGAGAATTCCGTGTTAGCATACCGGCAAGAGCCTATCGTAATGTAACATACGGACGTCGCCTTTGCTTAGCGGCGTCACAAAATGGTCGTATGCCTTGTTGGCGTAAGCAAATGTGAAAAGCTTAATCTGCCATAAGAATTTATGGCAGCAATGTCATCTTAATACCGTTCAGCCGTAACAAGCACTATAAGGAAAGATAATCGTCATTTTGTGGCATATCGACGATTGAAGTGCGGTGTCTCCCTGACGGGGGTGGCATGTCCTTCCTAAGCAGACTTGAGAAAATGATGCTTCAATGGCATAAGAACTACATAATTTCGTTCCGTTTCCATTACACGCAAATCACCAAACGTCACCTCGGTGGCGGTGAGATTGGTTAATTTGTACGATATAGTCTAAAAAAATTATCATATGACTCTGCATGACACCTGTACCTTACCATTAGGCCCTCAGCGAATACCCAAAACGAAACAGAAACAGAGTTCCTCATCTCGCCGTGTATAGTCGTTACCGTCCGATTTAATCAAATGCATTAACAGACAATAATGTATTGAGGTTAAGCCACCGCAAGGACAGTACAAATGCGGTAAGTAGATACGCAAATCATTCATTCAACAGACGTCTTGTTCGGTGTGCGAACAAAAAGTCGAAAGGAAAAAGTCGAAATGGAAAAGTTGATCAATAAAAAGTCGGTAGGCATAAAGGTGGGCTGGGATAAGATTGGCATCGGAAAAGCTGAAGGGCAAGCAATCAAGAGTGATCAAAATAGGCTGGGATCAAGTTCAACGAAAAAAAACCTGAACGCAAAACTCAACAGGGACAAAAGTCGACGGTGACAGAAGCTGACTAAAAAAGTCGAAGGAGGAAAAAGCCGACAAGGATGAAGGTTGAAATGGAAAAGTCGAAGGAAAACGCGTCGACAGAGATGAAGGTCAAAGTCAAAGTCAAAGGTGACAAGCTAAAAGGTGAAAAAACCGAAACGGAAGTCCGCGAGACACTCGTTCGTGGGTGCTTATGATCACGCTTTCAATCATACCCGCAGTAAGCACAGAACTTTTGATGTGAAATAGACACAATGCTGGCTTTGGGATGATCCAGTACAAGCCTAATCACTATGTTAACATTGCATAAGTCTTGCAACATGATCAGTAAAGTGTGAGTAGGGGGAAAACCGTGATCGCTTCCCGTTCGATCTTGTCCGGTTCCGTCCGTTTCCGTCACCTAGCTCGGTCCGGTTCCGTTCGGGCCCGTCGGATTGCGTTCGGTAGAATGCGGTCCCGTCCAGCCCTGTCTGGTCCCGTCCTGCCCGGTGCGATACTGGCGCGCTTCGTCCAGTCTCGCCTGATCTCGTCCTGTTTTGCCAGGTTCCATTCGGTTTTGTCCGTTTCTGTCGGATTCTGTACGATCTCCTTCTGTACCGTCCGGTTCCTTTCCGCCACGCCCCGTGACCGATCCCGCCCTATTCTGCCTGCCTGCGTCCGGGCACGCGTGGTTTCGTCTGGTGCGATCCGGTTGGGTCTGGTCTTGTTCCATCTGGTTCCATCTGGTTCCATTCCGGTCCCAGATCCTATTTTGTCGGCTCTCGCCCGATCCCACCTGGCGTGATCTGATATTTGTACGCTTTGTATGTTTCCACCCGCTTCCATCCAGTTCCATCCAGTCCCACCCGTATCTCCCGTGAGAGCAGCTCTATCTTCGTCTCATACCAGACGTAAAATCCTGATGACTGTTTTTTTTGTTAAATAATTCGAGCCCTAGTGTTTTTTTTTTTACTGACCCGAGTTGACATTTATCGCTGGCGATGCTCTTTTTTCAACTTATCCGTTTCACCTTTTATCCCTGTCGATTTGCAGCTTTTTACCGTTTGAGGTGTGGAGATGTTATTCCTTTATTCCTGGTGATGCCTTGTCGTTGGACGGTTTCCCTTTGAGTTTTCGTTCGGGAACCATCGCGCTCATATCATTTGGACCGATTGACCGGGGCGTGGGTCGGCTAAACTGGTGTGTGACTGCGAAAACTGATCGACCAAAGTTGGGGCGTCAGTTAAGTAGATAGACATGGATCAAGGGTACGTGCAGACACCAAGTCAGCGGGAAGCCATGCCCCTGGCTGTTTTAACAAGCGCCTGCATCACAATAAACGGTTGCATTCCTTCGTCATTGACGGTTGTATTACCATCGCAGGTTTATGAAAACAAAACTCCCATTTTTCTCCACTGATTCCTGTTTTTAAGGGACGAGACGGACTTCGTCACACCCGTTTTACAGAGCGCCAGCCAATGCTTTGGCCATATTAGCGCTCAGCAGCCATGGCGTAACCAGGAGTCGAACCTATGCCCCCACGCATGAGTCCGAGGCCGTAACCAATCGGACATTACGTCCCTCTCCCCCTCCCCAATCTTAACCCATTCGAGCCAAACAACTTCTCTAAACCCATTTGTTCCAAACAACCTTTTTGAATTCATTCTATCCAAACAATTTCTTGTCCCAGAAACCTCCAAATAAACCACTACTCGCCACATACAACGCACATTCTGTATTTTACAGTGATGTTGTTCAGCACATAATCAGCGAAACCTATCAGGCAACTTTATTTGAAGGGCCTAGGCGAAAGCATCCTCCCGTAGAAGAAATACTACAAAACGTTTTATCGATTGAAATGAGCCACCCACTCAATGGCCTCGAAAAGATGCGTTCATATTGGTGGACAAAAAAATAATATGCATGACCAGCATTGCAGCTGTCAGGCTGTCTGACGTGTGCACAATCCATGCATCTCTCAGATCTGTATTCATAGTTTCCTTTTACATGTAAGTTGCATTACTCGGCCAAATTACATTTTCAAGTATTTCCTTCAGTAAAACACTTGTCCTGGACATAAATCAGCTTTAACAGTCTGTACAAAGTAATTGGACCTAGGTATTTGGTGATATCAATGTGTTTATACAAAGCGATTTTAGCGCATATAAATGTAATGCACTTCATGGTTACCGGTAAAAAACAATTAAGCTAGAATTTCATCAACAGGCTCGATGATTTGTTCCTTTACTTTGTCATATATTTCTTCTTTTACTTCATGCTTAATTTGCTTGTTCAGGAGTTGCCCAATCTTTTTCACAACATGGTCGGATTTTTCGTTGAGCGGCCGCGAACCGGACTTTGAACGTCGGCTTGAGATTGGGTCATCCAGGTCCCAAATATGGACATGCTTGCCATGTCTATGAAAATACTTCTTCGGAAGGGCCTCTGGAAAAGTACATGTTCGCCGTTCAATCTGCAGAATAGAAGTTCTCAACATGGATATAAGACATTGTCATTTCGTCAGTAACTGGAAACCAGGAAGTTGTGTTCCAGCAAATAGCTCACATCGCTTGCAAATATACCTGAACGCAATCGTTTATAATTTCGTACATTTTGCACCTTTACAAAAAGCTGCAAAACTGCATCATAAATGTGCGTTTTTGCACTATTTGCAAACATTGTGCTAAACGTGGATGTAATGTTCTACCTCAGTGTTGGAATGTTCAGCAACAAGCAAAATTACTGACTTGAGTACCACCGATATTTCCACTCACCTGTAATAACTGCAAATACGAGAAGACTGAAAAGAAAAACAAGGACCGCCCTCATCTTGCTGTAAATGTCACAAAAAACGTAGAACGGTTCCTTAATTTTGAACGGCTATGTTGAATGCACCAAAAAGCAGTAACACTGCAAGAAGACTGCGCAACTAAAAATTCATTGTGAATACCTGACTATACTTGATTACATCAAGTCACGTCAATTTGGTCAGAACAGTTTTGTTTTTCATGCGCATGCTTAAACACATGATGTATTTTTAAAGCGCACTTCGTTTTTCGCTCGCTGATTTGACTCCAGATCTACGCGCCGTCAAGTAAAAATTACAAAGCTCATCACCGATGACTTAAAGGACTGTTGTATATTTGCATCATGTTTGGAAGTAAGACATTCTCAGGATTCTTCTTGGTAGGTCACAGTTATGACTTTTTAAGGCCTAAAATCTTTGCGTTTCTGAGCAATGCGCACGCAAACTTGTGTGGATTATTTCGCAACGCCTAATTCAAGGCTACCCAGAGATGCATGCCGACATAGAAATGCGACACGAAATCCACCTACTAAATTGCCACGTTTTGTTCAAGATCAGGCCAGATTTGACAGTTGAGGCGTTCGTGGGTTGTGCATGCCATCAGGAATGGTGTAACAACGGGAGGCAGCTGGCTTTTAACCGGTTAAACGCGTTAGATGCAAGCTTCGAACACGACATGAACGACATTTGAGTCATGAACTGCATCATATTCTTCATAAATTTCATGAGCTGAATCATCAGCCGATCATCTCTAACAACGTTTTGTCAGTGAGTCATGTCGCTCAAATGGAAATGGTAACATGAATAAACGCAGGTCGCTCCAGACAAATAAACAACCATTGCAGAATGTTAAAATGAACGGCATGCATCATCAGTCATAAAGTTTTTTTTTGACAAAATTAGCATACAAGTTTTCTGTTGTGATCTCTGAACAGCAAGCAAAATATTGGTTATCGTGAACTTGCCTAATGTTAGCCAGGAAACAGATAATATCGCAGGGTACACACACCCTACATTCCTTTATCCTACCCTAAAATCAGCAAAAGGTTGGCTGCTATCGATAAAATTCAAGGGATTGTCATATTTGTCATTGTCAAGTGCCACAACAATGAACTAACCCATATCTAACCCCGTATTCAATACTCCTTGAATTACAGTAAGTATGCTTTTGCTAAGTCTAGATGAAATGATTAGTGAGGTGTTTTCGTTGTTTTTAGTACGTCCCGTCTCATATACGCGTTGTATATCCCACATAACCTCCCTAGGATATCGATAGCTATTTCCACGCAAAACGAAACTTGTGAGAATTTAGCCCCCAAATAAAGTGGTGTTGAAAGGCAAGAAAGTGGTGCATAGCACTCTGATGACTGCGCAGCACGGAACCCTGTTTTGACTGCTAAGCCATGATAGCGTGACCTGTTGAAATGAGTTCAAAGTATCCTGGTGGGGATGACAGCCGGCGCCTTCGTCAGACTATTCCTAGTTCACCCGTTCAGAGTTCAGTTCAGTTCAGGTCAGTACCTTGCTGACTAGAAAATCTGGGTAGAGTGAAGTGGATTTTCGCAGGTCTTGTTTGTGAGAAATGCAAATAAATAAAAATTCGTAATGTCTATTAAGTTCAGGTAAAAAGGTAAGTTCTTAGTATGTTTATTACGTATGCCAGCTATTCGCTTCTGCATTAACTGCAATGCGACGTTGAATTGTTGACATACCATAGCCGGCGGCGTGGCTAATATTGGCAAGTGGAAATGTGATTACCTACATGTGAATGCATTTGGCTGGCAGTTGGCAGAAGCAGACTGTCAACTGTCAGGCTTACTGCAGTCTAATCCACGTTGCATGCTGTCTTACTAATTGGTGGGGTTCGTAGGTGCCAGGTAGACTATATTAGCCTAGAGCCGGTTGGTAACAGGTTACAGGACAGATAAAGTTTGCTGAACTGTATTTGGTAAGTTTGAACTACAAACTCGCCCCCACGTGATTTATAACTATTTCCCATGTCATATCTATAAGCAGAAACACAGCACCGTTGATACTGAGCTATAGTTTGCTAAATCTCAGTCAGGAATCAGAGGAAACACACACGCACGCACACACACACACACACACACACACACACACACACACACACACACACACACACACACACACACACACACACACACACACACACACACACACACACACACACACACACACATACGCGCACACACACACACACACACACACACACACACACACACACACACACACACACACACACACACACACACACACACACACACACACACACACACACACACACACACACACACACACACATACGCGCGCACACACACACACACACACACACACACACACACCACACACACACACACACACACACACACACACACACACACACACACACACACAAACACACAATATATATATATATATATATATATATATATATATATGCATACATATAAATAAATCAATATTTATATATATATATATATATATATATATATATATAGCCAGTGTTCATCTAAGTAAAGACGACAACTAGGAGTGGCGCGTATATTTTTGCTGAAAGCGTGACAGCAGATTTGGAGTGTAGAACTACATCAGTAAGACTCTGACCACTCACCTTGTTTAGGGCGGCTTAGAGCCATGGCAGAGAGAGGTCATACTCAGCGCCCAAGCACTAGACTGCGCGATCGCTAGTAAAAAGTGAGAAGGACATACCCAGCGGCAATGTGTCAAATAATCGTTAACCATGACGTTTATGTAAGTCGGTGCAGTGGTGTACATTTGTTTCCAAGTCGCCAGAGGTTTTGTCTTGGCGAAATGCCTCAAAGAAAACGTAGAAGGGCTAGCTGACTGGAATTAATTCGCAAGCATATTTGGGAAATATTTAATGGAAAATCAAGTACCTGGGGTTTTTCAAAGTGGCCCTAAGGTCCAAAAAAGCGCTTCGGCGATTTCGGCATTCCACTTGGAAGTTGCCAGGGACCATAAAGAGTCCCTCGGAACTTGCAGTTAACTATTATCTCTGGTAATTGCGGAGAATGACACCACGAAAGCGCGGAAGCTGGCACGCAGCGTCAGTGTCACGCCACTGCCGGACGTGACCACCTCGCTCGCCGACCACCCTGACCAGAGGCTTGCCTGGACAAAGGCGCTGTCCGCCTTCCTACACAATTATTCTGCCGGCACAATGTATGCCCGCCAAGCCCAGCTGTAGGCAGAGTACAGCCTCAGGAGGGGAAAGAACAGGGCCAATATCCCGGCTCTTCGGCTGGAGCGGAGGACCTCCTGTCCACTACGCGGCCGACGGCGAGTGGCTGGCGGACGGCCGTCAAACGAGAGCCGCCGTGAACACCCCTACCAGCCGAAAAAGGGGAAAACGGCCACACCCTGCTCCATGCAGTCTCTAACCATCGGCTGTTGTGCTACCGCATCTGAAGGGCACGACAAAAGCTGTGATACCTTAGAAAATGTGTTCTGCTCACAAAAAAGCATAGAAGACTTTTACCCCGACGTTCGACCTGTTCGTCGCACACTTCAAGACGCCATCTGACGAGGGATGGCGCGTTAGCCACCAGGTTCATGAGAAATTTGGGGCTGCTATTAGTCCACGACGATTAAGTGCCTACACATCTTTCTGAGATTGAGACTAGGGTTCTTCTTGTCGGACACTTTTTTGCATCATTCCCTATATCTCTTCAATCAAACTTAGATGAGAGCTGTTTACTAACCACGCGTCTTTCACCTAACTTATGATAAATACACTATTGTTCCGCTCTGATGGGCCATAAACCAACACGCCGTCCCGTCTGACGACACTTTTGGACAACCGACGACCAAAGTCTCGGTTGGAGGCGATAGGGGCCAAAGGGACGGGCTGTAGGTCACATAAATAATCGCGGCCTGTATGGTCGGGACCTAAATATCACTCAGAGGTCCTCTTGTACCGTTTGAGGGCCCTCTGAGGCAATGTGGGCGCCTCGGTCGACCAGAGACCATGAGCTCCGAACAGTTGACTCCCTGCCAGTCTGAACCCTGGGGGCCATTTTCGGAGCAGGAGCAAGCCCGCGGGCCACGACTTGCATTGGTCGGAGACTTCTAGCAATGTAAGGAAACACTTTAACTTTGGTAAGTGTTCACGTTGTGACAACGGAAGGGTTCTGTGCCAACCAGGGCCCCCAGAACCGAGCGGCGGGCCCTCCCACCCAATCCCAGCATGGACCCGTCAAGCCGAACTGGATTCTATTGCACCAATTATTGGACCAACTGAAGCAATCAGGGATGTTATTGCGCTAGTGAGAGTCGTCGATCCGGGATAAAGCGCGCAGGTCAAAATGCCTTCCGCGTCAGGAAGGGACCACTGTGGTATGGTATATATCTGGAAATCGCGCTCCCAAACGCCAGATATGTACGTCTCGATAATCAGATTTCTGGGCCTCGATCGCCACATGGCTTATGGAATGGCAGGATTTAAATGACGTTATCGTGAGTCATGAATGTCAAGGTAACTTTGAAATACTCTCCCCAATATACCTTCTCCCATTTTCGCGGTCGTGTAGCTCAGAAACTCGAGGGCTTAGGTGTTAAGGAGTGCAGGACTGTGGGCAGCGCCGACAATTCTTCAAGACAGCTATTTCAGCTCAAAACCTCATGTAAATGTGGCACACTTACTTTAATGAACATGTGATAGGCGGGGCTCATCACAAGCAAAATAGCAGCCGTGTGATGTCGGCGTTTAAAGTAACATCGAAGCTCAGCTTCACGTCATATCATGTCATAGGGGCTTTACGATGCACTCAGGTGCACTGGGGCTTTACGACGCACTCAGGTGCTGAGGCTATACGGCGTCACCTGTCTCTCACCCTGACAGGGCGGGCGTGCATCACGGGGAATCGAGCCCTCTATCTCTGGTTTTCCAGACGCGCATTGGTTGACGCGAATGCATTAACTACTACACTACCGGCACCACGAAGCTCAGTTTCAAGCCGAATGGTGTGGCCTGTTATGCTGAGATTGCTTCGAGACACACATTGATTTTGAGAAAGAAAGCATTCACGTTCTATTATCCAAGAAACTTGTTTCATCACCATCCACTCAAGAAGTTCTCCCAGGCAGCTTTTGAAATGTGTC